TTCTGGTTAAATAATACTACCTAAATTGTTAATAATGAATCACCTATGTATTTGTAATTTTTTAAGAATACTGTTTATTTTCATTCATTTGCAGAAACGCAGCTATAACCATCTCCTCTTGACCTTGGTCAATGTTGCAACATTAAATACAATACAATACAATTAATATTTACACCACTAATCTAAAATTGCTGAGACAGAGAGATATGAGCAGGAGCATTGATATGGAAAGTCACATTAGCCGATGGAATTACAGTGTTTCCTCTGTTTTGTATTGATTCAACACTGATGTTGAACCATTGCAACCACCTGTAGTGAAGCAGGATATTATAACATTTGATGGCACAACATTTACCTCTAAAACACACTTCTGATTTAATGTTTACAATTCATGTTTTATGATGATATAATAACCACAGAAACCCAAAAAAATAAATAGGTTATGTAAAATTAGGAACCATGAATCTCTCCTACAGCATTCACCTGTATTCTTCACAGTTCAATCTAACAGCAAGCATACAATGGCTTCACTGTCCAAGGCTTCACTCTCGCCCGGCCTCCAGTTTCTCCTCCACTGTGTGATCTCCCCTCGAGCCTCCCATGCAGGGCGGACTCTTAGCAAGGGTGGGGTTACTCCCCCACTGCTCAGGAGTCTTTGCCTGTATAGCCAGTGCATGAATGCAGCTACTCAACTCCTCCTTCAAAGCCTCATTAACAAGACGGTGGCGCTTTATTAATGGCAAACCCTCAAACTGGGAGCTGACAACCAGAACACGGAAATGGGATTCAGAGCCGGGGGGAACAGCGTGCATGTGGCTTTCATTGTGGACCTCTAAGTGGTCCGGCTTGAGGTTAGCAGTCAGTTTGGTCCTGATAGCCCTTTCAACAGGCCTGCTTGCGTCTGGGTCCATGTGTGGTCTGAAGTGGGCCAGAGGCCGGCTTAAGGGAAGACTGGTAGAGATGGGCCGAGCACAGCGGAGGACAGTGGGCAGCATCAGAGGTTGCGGCAGGACCACCTATGAAAGCCAGATGGGTATAAATACAGGTGACGTGTAATTCAGAGATCTGAGAGATATTCAGGTCCTGTTAATCATTTGGATTGAATAACATGCTTTGGGGTGTCTTAAACACACCCTCCACATGTTGGAGTTACTCAGCCCTTACATAACAGTAGTCATTACCAACTGGCTATATTTCTAATGTTTAGCTACACCATGTATTTCAGATGAGAGAAGAGATAGCTTAAAATATCTGCTGTTTTCGGGTTGGCAGTTCACAGTTCAGTTCTTCATTTCACAGTTAGTGCATTGATGTTGGTACCAATATGCCAGATCGATAACAGTGCCTACCTATACTGTCTTTTTAAGTGGACCAGGTAAAGCGACAGTGAACACAGTAGTGCAGATGTAATTCGTTAGCTACCACGTTGGTTTTGTTTTGAATGGCTAACATGCGGCGCAACTGCTGAAAAACCCAGAAGACAAGTTCTGTTTTTTTTGTTTTTTGGCGACTTTATACAACGTAGCATACTGCTGATGGGGAAAGTTACCAGGGAGAGACAGAAAGAAGCGGGGCACACTGACGTGTTTGCAGCAGAGGTACGTTAGGTCTGTGTGTGAAGAGAACTGAAGGAGGCTTTTTCTATAAGAGAGTGACACTTAAATAAGTTCCTACAAATAGTACAAACATCTTGAGAAGATAATTCTTAGTAGTCAGGGTTACTTTATTACATTAGCCTGCTGACGAGTGTTAAAAAAAACTGACAGCCTCAGTTGTTCACTCAAACAATACTAGAAATCCCGTTTTAAGTTACTGTTAGAATTGAATGTAAGTTGGTGACACGACTTCCAATTTTGCATTTACAGTAATGTCCTTACAGTGCCAGTTTTAACGTTACTTAACTGAACATTCAAGCTACACTTCAGCTAATGCACTGCTTGTTTGCTAGCATTAACACTTAGCTTTCATGATAAACATTAACCCAATCTGTAAGAAAACTGAGACAATGTAACGGAGTCTCTACACCAAACTTCTCCATAAAACATCATAAATCTGTGTGTTCTATAATACGCTTAAATGATGAGTTAACGTTTAACGTTACTCACCTTGCAAATTAAGTTAGTTGCTTGGGTCCCTGTTATCGTTACGCAACACTCACGGGAAGTGCTAGCACACAAGCTCCTCTTCTTCTTCTTATAAAATTTCGGCAGTGTAGACGCTGCTACGCGTATTAGTGCCGTCCACAGGTCAGAGTTGTATCTAAATTCTCACATACAATCCTGTATCATGTAGAAATTGCTGAACTGCCTTGGAGACTGTGACGGGTTTTTGGGGGGGGGGGGGGCAGCAGGGGCCAGTGCCCCTGTAACAAAGACCTTGGACCCCCTATTAACATGCGCTGCACCGATCACCGCCAATCAGGGCTCAACAAAACTGCCCAACCTGCAGCCTCTCCCACTCTCCTGTGTCTGCCAGCGCCTCCACACACGCGCACACACGGATCGAAGTCAGCCAGCTGATCAGCGGACACTGACAACAACTACACTGGTTAGTGTATGTAGGTGGTGCAGTAAAGCCAATTCTCTACCAACACTCCTGTTTAATAAGCATAAACACGCAAAACAGATGTTCTCAGTCTCTCATCCACTGCAGTTGTGTTTAGGTTTTACACAGCGTTAGTTCAGATAATAGCTTATTGTTACAAACAAGCTGAAGTGAAAGCTCTCTGTCTTTAGTAACTGTTCAGCTTAGTTTGCTGCTTACATTAAAATATGGCACATTATAAACTGAGCTGGCTGAGACAGACCAGCCCTCCTCTCTACCAGCAGCAGCAGAAGGAGGAGGAGGACAAAAGGGACTGAGCTGTTATTTCTAAACTTATGCTGATGTCAGGAATATGATTTATTTTACTGACATGTTAGATTTGTTTCCAGGGAGCTATTAGTGACTTTGCTGTTGGAAATCCTGTTGCTACTCTGGAAACAACATTTAGTTAATAAAAATGGTAAATTATTATTTTTTATAATATATGCAATTATTTAGTAATAAATAGGACTGATAAGAGCATCTATAAAGAACTGAACCAGTAAGGATTACCAATACAAGTGTGCCAATAAAATCCTAATGATCCCAACTCCTGAGAAAGTATCTGGCCCATCTCTGTGTTTTAAAATCCAGCCCAATTGAATCTGTAATTGAACAGCCCTGGTCTACAGTAATCATAGTAATATATCTTCCTTGCGACGAAATTAAACTGAAATACATTAAACTGAATGCAGCATTGTAGACAATATTTTGTCCTTGTAATCCATGTTTCCACTGCATGGATAGCCTTTGGATATTGCTGGAAATTTTTCAGAGCCTCCCTCCTTAAAGGGTAAATTATTATCATAACAATTTAATAATGCATTGCATTTAAACAGCACTTTTCATACACACAAAGCGATAAAAGTAGCCTACTGGTCCTACCAGGTGGGACATGCAGTCTGCTTAAATATGTATCCCCCTTAATAAAGCACAGATGATGGCTTCCTATCAAGTATTTAATTTTGTGTATACTTCACATCAGGACTAATAACAGGAGTGAATATGGAGATGTTTCTATTTTCCAAGCAATTATTTCAGACTGTATTTTCAACCTTTCACAAAACATATCCCCCCTTTATAAAGCACAGATGATGGCCTAAGTATTTAATTTTGTGTATACTTCACATCAGGACTAATAACAGGGGTGAATGTGGAGAAGTTTTTCCTAACTAAAGTTATATTGGGAAACAAAATACAAACTAGGATACAGAGAATGTCTAGTACACTAGAGCTTCTACTGTTCATTAAGCATTACAGAGAAGTGTTCATCAAAGAATGTACTGTAACTTGAGCTAAAGTTAACAGGAATGGGTTTTTTGTATAATGTCATTTAATAAAACTATAACTAAGTTACTGAAAAGATCCTGTTACTGAAACAAGTAACTGTAAGTTACTTAAACATTACATTATATACTAAACAAGACATTTTGAAAGCTTGAACACAGCCTTTGTCTCCTTTGTCCCGGATTGAGTGACAAAACAAGTGGCCCTAGCCTGGCCCCCCTAATAAAATTGGTCTAGAACAACTACTGCTTGGAGATCCATTTGTTTCTCACTCTGTCCAAACAAAAATGCAACAGAAAAAGTCAAGTCTAGTCAACTCCAAGTCCAGTCAATCTACCAAAGAATACCTTTCTTTCTGCCCTACTTTCTACATTCTAGGAAAACATGCCTTACTGTTTCAAGGATCCCACATCCACACAAGCCAGAAACATGTTTTCCTACAATGCACAAAGAATTATTTAACCCACAGAGGCCCAACTATACATATAAATACATGACAGAGAAGTACAGAAACATATTTTCCTGACTTTGGGTTGTATAGAAAAGAAGTGTCTACCTCTGACTTCCCTTTGCCACCCATTCTGCCATTCTTTTGTTAAGCCCTCTTTGATTATTTCCCTCAGTTCCACTCTCCCCACGGATAAGTCTACTTCTCTGCTTAAACTTTCCTTTGCAATGTGGTCCACCTGCTCAAGCACAAAGTGTAGTGCAGTTCAGGCACCCAATAGGGCATGGGTAGCCATCTCAATACCTCCCCATTCCATGCCCAGCTTCCTAGCCCACTGATTTACAGTGACAAAAAAGTATTATATTTATTAACACCCCAGTATTATAATCTTAACTTAAGGGCATTTCTCCCATTTCAACGAGCAGGGCAGGGACTGGGATAGTTCTGAAGGCCCCACAGTTAAGCGTCAAAGCCCTTGCATGCACCACACCTAACTTAGCCAGAACAGGTTTAGAAGCAGATCCATACACCAAACCTAGCACACACTCTGGGTTGTGTAGTTTTTTTAAACGCTCTGTAGTCCTGTGGCTGCATCCATGATTTTAACCATTTGTAGTAGCCTAGACTTTGTCTGTGATGAATGTAAAACAATATTTATATAAACATAAAGAAATGACAATTATTGACTTTACATAATTTTCCACTTGTTTATTCTTCATGGTTCTTTATATCTATTGTGATTCCAAAGGGTCAGTTAGTGCAACCCCATTCAAAAATCAACAATGATATAATATAAGAAAAAATCTCACACACCTTTAAACAGAACTGATGTTGTCACATTTAGGCTAACTATGATTCATAACCACTATTTAACATTGATGTATTTTCTTATATTTCATTCTCTTTTACAAAACACACAAAATCAAAGACAACATACAGCATTTACACTTCTTTTTTTCTTTTTTCTTTTTTTTTTTACTTTTTTATATTCATGGTTTCACAAACAGTTTCTATACTTACATACAATCAACTACAATTTCTACAGCACACTACAATGACAAAAGTGATAGATTCTTTGTTACATTTAATTAATGGCAATGCAATCTTATTGACAAAAGCTTCAAGACTTAGTGTTGTTTTTAGAGAGTATACATGAATGTTAGCTGTTAAGTCCTGTGTCATTATTAAGCCAACACTCAGCATTTTAGTGGACAAGGCCAGCATATAGTAATGTGCTCCAATTCCCAATAGCTTCAAAGAAGAGAATTAGAGACAAATACCCAAACACTTATTGCTTTGTTAACGTTTGCACGCACGATTGACTGTTGCTCAGGCAACAAGTTAATTATACAAAAAAACCCTGTAACATAAGCTAAGATATGTATCTAAAAGAGAGACAATTTTGACTTGGACAGTCTGAACTGAGTCACTGAGACAGGTTAGAGCTTTAACAGCATTCAATGTTGAACAAATACAACAGTTATCTTGACATCGTGGTTCTTAAATTTCATGGGTGATACAGGACAACATAGAGAGAATAGGACTGCTGACTTTTTATATTTGTACAGTAATTGTGCATTTATATACTATCAATGTGCTTTTAAGAGGGAATCTGGGCAAATTTAGTTTTCTGACTTTCTGGCTATTTGGCTTCTGAAGCCATTATTTCTTGTAGTTTTAAAACAAGAGCAGCTGGACGCTTAAAGACGCTTTGGAGATGAGTTGTGAAAAATCTTCATTACCATAATGAGTCCAGTTGTTCTTGTTTCACGTGATCAATAGCTGAAAACCTACAAAAACCTACTGCAATGTAGTATGTTATAAGTACATTTATTTATAACTTCATGGAATTCATGGTGTAATGTGTAAATTCAGGCCATACAAAATATTTGGCAATAATTTATGAGCGATGGCACACTCATAACTAATGGGTCAGATGTCAAATTTGGAGCGAGATCAGTGTGAGACAGAGGGAGTGAGATGTAAGGGGCAGGTCATCAAAGCTTGAAGCACTTATGTTCACAACTGCACTTATGTTCACAATCTTGTCATTTAGTAGGTTTTGGTCTTTGTGCTCTTGCTAAACGCTCACCTTGTCCTTCGTTCAGTCTCTAGCAAGGCTGTATCAGAATGCGTCTTGAAGACCTCAAGGCATTCACAATTGTGCATGTACGATCGTGTACAATTAGTGCAATGGGTTTTCTATTTATTCAACTGTCTTGAGTCTATGTATGGCTGCTATCCTACAAAATGGCAGTTTGGACGGAAACTATTTTTTTTGTTAATCTGACATGTTAATGATTGTTTTTCTTTTATCATGCAATTGTGAACATATTATCCTTGCGTGTCAAGATCAGGGGAATGTGGCAATCATTTATGCCGAAACTCTGTGCTGTTACCAGTGTGGGATATATGACAATCAGCCCTTGACTGTGAGTTCTCTATGGTGAATGTCGTGTTATATATAGCTACATTTGTCTAATAAAGCACAAGTAAACACAATGCCCCAGTGGACTCAAAATCCATGCCCTTATTAGCAGAATAATCATTTTCAACTGCATTTAATCCTCGTTGTTCAACGTGTTATGTGCTCCAAGGACATCCACATTAGGAAAATTTAAAATAGAAGAACTCTGCTGCAATTTTAATATCTACTCTACTGACTTTCTATTAAATTCAGTCTTTCTTGACCCAAGAGAAAAAACAGGTTAAGTAGGTCCAGTACGTTCACACACCATCACATCATGTTCCATTATCAATATAAGACAGCTACCCCACAACCTTTCACAAATCAGAATTGGTTTGCCAAATGGTAGCTAAATGGTAACAAAATCGTAAAAGACATAAAAAATAAAACAAAATCTCAATATTGCACAGAGGTTCAATATTGCACTCATGAAGCACGTTCATTAATATAAACATTCGGTTCACACAAATAATTAGATTATAGTTTATCTGTCATCCCTTACACACTTAAAACAAATTGTGCCTGCAATAAAACAGTAAAAAAGAAAACTGTAGGCTTTTTGTGTAACTTTTTTAATCCTGTTGATTACCTGCTTTTCTTCCTTATGTAATAGTATGATTTAAGGTAATAAAGGAATAAAATATTTTTAGACCATTCTGTGGCGTGTGCTCTAAGAAGACTGGGGTAAGGTACATCAATGTTCATGTTATCGCCGCTACCAAGAGCAGAAGTATTTTGTGGGTAGGAAATGTCAACACATAACGGTAACTAGAGATTATTCGATGAGCAAATGCAACTTGTCCAGAATGCTGTTCACATGTTGTACTCTGAATTTTCATAAATTTACATACATACATTGTGCCATGCATAACACCCTCCAAAACATATTTCATAAAAGAAAAAGTCTAAGTCTGGGAGGAGAGCTTCCGAAAAGGCATTTCTTACAAAGAGATATATCATATGATTAAACTATGATGATTGAGTGTGAGATCCTGAACATTTTAATCAAATATTGTTTGGAACATTCTCACTGGTTGTACTTCAAATGTACATTTTAACAAACAGCTTCATCTTTGTGATGAAATGGCGATCATGACAGCACAAAATGTGCACTTGGCGATGAAAAACAAATCCATTGACTGATTTGAATGCTCTCATGAATGTTTGGAGGTGATCAGAAACAATGTTTTAAAGGGAGAGGGGCTCGATGAACTCATCACATTCTAACAACAACAAAAGCAAACCTGGAATGTTCTATAATCTATAAAATGGCAGTTAGTCTGTACACCAACACAAGACCTCAGAAGATAAAGAATGACGATGATGTCTTTGATTAAAGAGAAAGCCAAGAGTGTTTTGGTATTACCCAGCAAAGTCAAAAATGCTTCAACCGAAAGCGAAAAATGACACATTTTTGATTCTATGTCCGACAATAGCAAAGTACTCGAGACTTGACGGGTGAGGTGAATTTGATCAGAAGAATGGAAGTGACTACAAAGAACTCTGCAACAATGGCTAGTGGTCATTTCTATAAGTCTATTTGCATGGCTCATTTTCAAGAGCCCCCATCCCCTGACCTCCAACCCCAGGTGTATGTAGTCATCCTTGGGGGGACTGAATCTAAATTTACTATTATATTCCGGGAACGAAATGTCATGCTCTCACTAAAAATGTTATTACTTTAGCCTCATGTTTCTGCAGAAAATCTGAGCAACCAACAACAATTTGTCTCAGCTCAAGGTTTATTCGGTCATTCTAATGGTTTTTCACAGCTTCACTATTGATAGCATGGATGGGTAACTATCAAATAATCACTAATCCCAAATATTTACATCAGATCTTTGTCGCTCTTCTGTGTGGTCTTAGTATGTGCACAAACTTTACTCTATCATTTTGAGGGAGGGTGAGAGGGTAGGGTTTGGAGGGCTCTTGAGCTGTTCATTCACAGTGTGGCAAAAACTCTTCTGCCCCCCCCTAAAGTTGTTGGCGCCACACTATTGCAGCACCTGACCCCGCGTCTCTGGTAGTTTGAGGGCCAGAAAACTGCCCATCGCCAGTGCCCCCGAAGCAAAGAGGATGGGCACAGCCTTGGTGATACCAACGAACGAGGTGAAGATGCTGATTCCTAAAACAGCCGCTAATTTACAGAGGGCATTGAGGAAGCCAAATGCTGTGGTTCTGAGAAAAGAGAGGAGACACATAGAGTACAGAGTCAGGTACATGTCTGTTGTTTGATCATGCATTAAGAAGGAATAAAAACATCCCAAATACATCTCTTTTCTTTCTGATATGAACTGTTAATGTGAGTTTTAGAACTTCATCTATGTTGTTTAAGCATCGATTTTAAAGGGTGTAGGTACTCCATATAACCACAAGGTGGAGCTGTAATTTGTAAAAGGAAAACTCAAAAGCTGTTCTCACAGTGAATATAGGAGCAACACAGAAGATACATGTTCTTGCTTTGAGACAAATAATGATGTTCCACAAAAATAGTATATTTTACTTTATATTAGGTTGTATTTCAATGAATAAATCAAAGTAGGATTTACATCAACCATAGTAAAGCCATTAGGTGGCAACAAGACAGCTACCAATGATTTCTCTCTCCAATGTCATACATCCCTGTGAGCCAACCAATCATTCTAGGGCAACTCTTATTACATTATTTAACACGTCATTCAGCACCACTGACCGTGTCTTCATGGTGTCAAGGAGATTTCAGGGCATGCCTAAATTGCCTACCTCTTGTCAGAGGGGTAGAGCTCGACGGTCAGCACATCCAGGGCATTCCAGGAAGCGATGCTGATTCCCCCAAACAGGCAGAGCAGAGCAATCATGGCTGACTCGCTGTTGCCAAAAGACAGGAAGAAACAGCTGATGCAAGAGATCACACTGGAGCCCGCTGGAGGTAGACAAAGAGAGAAAAGGAGAGGTGAAGGAAAAGCTTGACATATATAGAAAGGACTATAACAACTGAAGTATCAGCCTGTTGTTTTGAACTGTAATGTAATTAGACCAGACAGTGCATGAAAAATGTAATAAACATGGTCCCCTCACTGCTCTGTCCAAATCATCTAGCTGTTGTGCAGACAAAACAACATAATGTAGACAAAACTAAATCATTTTTTGGACTAATAATACTCCGGCAACTGGATCAATGACAAACCTTGGCAGTACATATCAAAATGTTATTGATAAACCTGAGGTGACGTTGATGCTGTTAAATATAAATCAGGCCTGTTTTCCTGCAAATTTCCTCTCAGTCCTAGATTATGGTTATCCAACGAAGGTTAAAATGAAGGGCAACTGGACTTGGTTGAAGCTACTGGAAGACGTTTCGTCCCTTATCCAAAGGACTTCTTCAGTTCTGACTGACTGGCAGGGAAACTCAGCCATTTAACCTCAGTGGGGTCGTTATCTCGGGTCATCGATACCGCTGGTTCGTTAGTGTTCCTTGTTGCTGTGACGACAGTCGTTACAGTCGTTGAGACTACCTGAGGCCAAGACTGAACGACCATCGTTGGTATCTTCACCTGAGGCCAATAGGTTACGTTTGTTGAGTTTCCTGGGAAGTGATGAAAGGACAGCATTGTACGTGGGGGATAAGTGGTGGCGTAGACCCCCTCCCCTGTTCAATGACGGCTTCTCAACCCTGGTGTAGATGGCTTCCTTGACACCTCTTTCAAACCATCCATCTTCTCTGTCTAAAATGTGCACCTGGTGGTCCTCAAACGAGTGTCCTCTGTCCTTCAGATGTAAGTAGACAGCAGAGTCTTGACCTGAGGAGTTGGCCCTTCTGTGTTGAGCCATGCGTTTGTGTAGTGGTTGTTTAGTCTCCCCAATATACAGGTCTGTGCATTCCTCACTGCATTGGACCGCATACACTAGATTGCTTTTCTTGTGTTTGGGTGTGCGGTCTTTGGGGTGGACCAGCATCTGTCTTAGTGTGTTTTTGGGTTTAAAAAACACAGGGATGTTATGTTTGTTAAAAATCCTCCTGAGTTTCTCTGATACTCCAGACACATATGGAATCACAATGTTGTTGCGTTTGACCTTCTTTTCCTCCTCCCCTGTAGTTTTGTTCTTCTTGGATTTTGTGGCTGTCTTTCCGTGAACAATATTACCGTTTGTATCCTGGAGAAGCCATTCCATGCATTTATGGACTACCCAAGATACACAAAGAAGGAGCCCCACTCAGGCCGATTATCAGCAGCATGAACTCGGTCACCTACAACATTGCCAAACACATTTCCACCATCTTAGCTCCATTGGTGGGAAACACGCCTCACCACATCCAAAACTCTATTGACTTTGTAAACAAAGTTCGAGGACTAAAACTGGATCCAGATGAAACCATGGTATCCTATGATGTGACTTCTTTGTTCACCTGCATCCCCACCATAGAGGCAGTAGAAACCGTTAGGAAACGGCTAACACAAGACAACACCCTGGACAACAGAACTAGCCTCAGCCCTGACCAAATCTGCAAATTACTCGACCTCTGTCTAAACACCACCTATTTCCAGTACAACGGTGGATTCTACAGACAGAAGCATGGCTGTGCCATGGGCTCACCGGTATCCCCGATTGTGGCCAACATCTACATGGAAGAAGTGGAGAATAAAGCCCTCAACTCCTTCAGAGGAATAGCACCGAGCCACTGGTACAGATATGTGGACGACACCTGGGTCAAAATCAAAAGCCAGGAAGTGCAAGCCTTCACAGAACACATCAACTCTGTGGACAGTAACATCAGGTTCACACGAGAAGATGTTCACAACAACAGTTTGGCCTTCCTGGACTGCGCTGTACACATTGAAGAGGACAGGAGCCTGCAGATTGGTGTTTACAGAAAACCCACACACACAGACCAATACCTACTCTTCGATTCACACCACCCACTGGAGCACAAGCTAGGGGTCATGAGAACACTGCACCACAGAGCGGAAAACATACCAACAAGCGCCCAAGCCAGAGAGAAGGAACAGAACCACCTGAAGGGGGCACTTACAGCCTGTGGATACCCTAAATGGGCTTTTGTGAAGACAGCCACAAAATCCAAGAAGAACAAAACTACAGGGGAGGAGGAAAAGAAGGTCAAACGCAACAACATTGTGATTCCATATGTGTCTGGAGTATCAGAGAAACTCAGGAGGATTTTTAACAAACATAACATCCCTGTGTTTTTTAAACCCAAAAACACACTAAGACAGATGCTGGTCCACCCCAAAGACCGCACACCCAAACACAAGAAAAGCAATCTAGTGTATGCGGTCCAATGCAGTGAGGAATGCACAGACCTGTATATTGGGGAGACTAAACAACCACTACACAAACGCATGGCTCAACACAGAAGGGCCAACTCCTCAGGTCAAGACTCTGCTGTCTACTTACATCTGAAGGACAGAGGACACTCGTTTGAGGACCACCAGGTGCACATTTTAGACAGAGAAGATGGATGGTTTGAAAGAGGTGTCAAGGAAGCCATCTACACCAGGGTTGAGAAGCCGTCATTGAACAGGGGAGGGGGTCTACGCCACCACTTATCCCCCACGTACAATGCTGTCCTTTCATCACTTCCCAGGAAACTCAACAAACGTAACCTATTGGCCTCAGGTGAAGATACCAACGATGGTCGTTCAGTCTTGGCCTCAGGTAGTCTCAACGACTGTAACGACTGTCGTCACAGCAACAAGGAACACTAACGAACCAGCGGTATCGATGACCCGAGATAACGACCCCACTGAGGTTAAATGGCTGAGTTTCCCTGCAGGTCAGTCAGAACTGAAGAAGTCCTTTGGATAAGGGACGAAACGTCTTCCAGTAGCTTCAACCAAGTCCAGTTGCCCTTCATTTTAACCTTCGTTGGATAACTATGACCTGGATGACTGAGAATCTTCATAGACATCTAGATTATGGTTATATCAACTACAGTACAGTATAAGCTTGCATCAGCCCCTCTGAAACTCAGCAGTTAAGATTTGTTAGTGCCAACCTTGTTTCTGTGTCATCACTGGCTTTTGTTGATTCATAAAGTACCTCTAAATAGATTAGCATTTCATTAACTATTAGGTCTCACCAGGAGATCTGGAACTTGCTGTGCAGACTGGCCATACATTCTATGAAATTCATACTTTCAGCTCTAGAAGTAAGCTTAGACTACATGGACGGCTGGATTCTATCACATACCTTGAGAGACCACCACAGAGCTACAGACAGAAGCACTCTGATTCATAGAAAGTATAGTGTTGTAGTGGGCTTTAAGGAGGACGCCACCTCATTAGCTGGGGAACAATGACCATTAGCCCTTCTTAATGTGAGGTCACAGTAGCAGCCACTGAACTATCCTATATTTTTTTAAAACCTTACTTTTTAGGACAGTGGTAACTAGCCTGTATGATATTTCCAGCAACATCTCTGCAATCCCACATAGTTTTATTTGTTTATTTGAATTTGATAGGGAAAATGCAATTTAACATATTTCCAGTACATGAAACTGATGAGTTTATAGCTGTTTTCAACTCTTGTCCCTAGCTAGGCATTTCTGTGCAAAGTGTAATTAAAATATACAGCTTTCAGTATCATAAAACCATAAACCACTTGGGTGGTACAAGTCCTATCTTCTGCTGACAGCAAATCACAAAAGTGCCTTAAACCCAGAGCCAGTGGTTTGTAAAGCAGAGCAGAATTTGACTATGTTTTAACACCAAGTAACCCTTCTTCTTGTCTTTCAGTGCACATGGTGCTGAGTAATGTGGCTCTGCGCTCATATTACCTAGCATCCTCAGCCGTCCGATCTTGTCCATGAGCAGTGCAGAGACGATGTTGCCTGGCAACACAGCCAAGGTGCCCAGGAAACTGACAAAGTAGACCATATAGGCATTGTTCTCATCACTGACATCACTGAGCAGGCAGCCCTCTTTGTTGTGCAGGAAAGTGCTGTTGATGAGCTTGCAGTTGACCAACCTATACTTGAAGAGATCTAGGGAGAGGGAGGGATGGGATGAAGAAGATGGCGAGAGGAGAAAGAAAGGGAGCAGGATTGAAGTGGTTCATAGTGCAGTACGCTTATTGACATGACAGAGAGAAAAGATGTAGCTATTCGTGTTGCACAAGGCACTTGCACGTTTGTAACTATTATCCCTTCCAGCTCCTAAAACAGTGGTGGCAGATTTGAAAGCAGTGGCTATTCAAGCCATGGAAACATATCTGCAATTCCTGCTGAGAGACTGTCAAACAAAGATTGAATCATTTCAGCTGCAATTCTTGCACAGGCTCTAGAAACCACACGTCACATTCTTCTTCGGGGCCTGGAGAAAGCTTCACAGGAACTGGAAATAAAAAGTGCAACATCGTCTTTGGTCCTATAAAAACCAGCAGCAATTCGTGCTCTGGCTGTGGAAAAACCAGAAGAAGTTCTTGCTCTGGCTGTGTAAAAAACTGTTGCAATTCCTTCTGACCCTCTGCCACCAGGCTGTGGTCTCTGGGTCAAGTGTTTTGATATTTTCCCAGGCTCTCTCAATTATTGGGGAGGATGGCACATATATAGAGACAGGAGGAAGCCTCTTGTGGCTAGAATGACTCCTGTGAATCACAGGGCCACTGCATACGGAGGTGCTATCCTGTTTTTAGTTCACTTTCCTGGGTTTCATTACTCAGACAGTCCATGCCTGTTGAATGTCTGCCATTATCCTGATACAACAACCTGTTGATGTTGCTGTAGCTCTTGTCCTTCAAGTATGTCTGGTGGTGGTTCACCTAGAGGTGATTCATGGAGCACAGGTTCTGCTGGATCAACTGTGGGTGAACTGGGTTGATTAAGTCCCAGGCCTAATCTGATGAGACAGACAGCAGCTGCTGTTATCCAAGGAACCACAACTAGATTGACATGTCGGTGGATAGACGGACAGTATTTCTTTTGATATCAAAGTATAGCGGCAATGTTTTACAAGACTATGCACAAAAGTCTATCCTTTCGGTAGCAGCGACTGGAGTCGGTGCAGAAATCAGTTGATGTATTAACTGATGTATTAGAGCCGTGCAGAACAGCTGCTTTATAGCTTCTGAAATGGATATGACTGTGTGACGTGATATATGATATATTTGCAAAACTGCTAATGGCGATCATTTTCACACTCATCTTGCTCAGTTTCAAACATTATTAACACTCGTCGTTCAAAAGAACTGTTTCCAGTTACGCTGGTGGCTGTGCCCTATAGTATCTTAGGGTATCTGTTTGGTAAAGACAAACAAAAATGTATGCAGCATTGTGTTTAAAATCCACCACTCATTTTTTATAGGCCTATGTAGCCTACATACTATAGTAGCCTTTAGTGGGCTATAGTTATATCAGCACAATGGACAGAATCTGCCACAAGCTTGAATACATTTTCCCCAGTTTCACATCTGCACTGCAGTTTTAATAGCCTAGGCCTCTATATGTAGCTACATAGATATGCTACATAAGTTATACATACATATTTCTGTATGCCTTAGATAACAGAGGTAATGTAAGGCAAATAGATACATGCACATAAGCCTATGTGTAAAACTTGCTCCCTCGTCTGAATCTCTCCTCACATTTCACACTGTGTTTGCTGTTGTAGCTCATGAAAGCACCAAAAGGGCAACGCTCATTTCAAAGGCCAGGAAAGCACTAACATATCATAGTAGTCTCATTTCATCGCACACTGTGAGGTAGGCTACTTTAAGTAAACTTATGTAGGCTACGTAAATACCGGTTTCAACTTGAACTACAGCCTCACACTGTGTGATCCTATAAACGTCGCTGTTTAGGCTACAATAAGTCAAAATAGCCTATCTACTGTATCTGTTGTACATCTAAGCCTACTAGAGTCCAGCTGCTCACTGCTTTTTACTCTTAAATATTTCAATACACTTTGCCTAAAGCTCTTTCCTAATTGCATGTACGTATAATGTGGACATATGGCAGATGTTGTATCCCTCCTCTTTTGCTCTTCCTGAAGTTCTCTCCCATTTGTTTCCTGTAAAATGTTTTGTGTGTGGATTTTTTTCCTTATTCAAATTAAATGTCTACGGTCAGAGTGTGTAGTATGTTATAGAGATAGTAAAACCCACTTTGACAAATTATATAGTAAATACAATTGGCTCGAATTGATTGGCTTGACACTAATAAGTTACAAAATTGGCACTTTAAGGATCATGTGATCATTTTGGGCTAATAGAATGCATCTGCAGTGTCTCAACCAATTTTGTGCAACCCTGCAGGTATTTTATAAAACAAAACAAAACAAAACTTTCCAGTGTTGAATCCAAGCTCAATATAATCTGCCACGCGTTACTCTATTGCGGTAATGGTGAATACCATCTTCACAATTACTGATACATTGCAGTAATAACACTATAAGTTGATAAACTGAAAAGAATAGCCCTCTAAGCATCTGGCTCAGTATATACAGACTAACATGATGTCACTATAGTACAGCCTAGCTGCATCTGTCATGTGGTTTGTTCCCACCATGACGCATTGTGATAATAAGGTACACAATGACAACTCAGACAGCCTTAAGTTCAGAACAGGGAGCCCAAAGACAGATTAAGCATTAATTAAAGCAAACATGTTTTCCATTCTAATAAACTCCTAGCCGGCACTGATAGCAGCTGTGAGTGATTGCTGGAGGTGTTAGGACAGGAAACAACTAACAAAGCAAGCAGAAGGTCTGGCTGATATATTGTATTTATTGTGCGCAAGTGTTTGTATGTGTGGACACAGCTGCTGCATCCATAGTGGAAGGTGTCTGGTTTCTACAATGTACAAAGATACGGCTCTCCTCAGCTTTCTACATGTCATTTTGGAGGAAACACATCAACAGTACAGTCTGAGACGAGACATGTCTGCAATTTTGAAGCTTTAATAATGGAGTCAGTCCGGGTTGCTAGGAAACATGTGCAGCTCTGCAATGCCCCATTTGGTGTAGTGCCAGTCAGCCAGAGGAGTCAGTAGAGAGGGGAAAAGACAGTAATTGAGCAATATTAACAGTTAAAGCTGATTTTGCTGTTCTTTTGCACATCAGGAGAAGTTATATGGGAATGTAGTGTGTCCACTAAAGTTGATTACAAAAAGATGATCAGGGCTAATGATAATAAATTGTGCATGTGATACACTAGTAACTATGTGCTTACCAGACAGGTTTAATATATGAGCATTGCCTTAATTGAACAGACTACACCATCTTTACACCATCATGATTCTGAATAAGACTGAACTCACACAAGTCCTTAATAAGACTGCATTACAGGCAGCACACACAACTTAGTAGAACAGTGCCAACAGCTCTACTGAAAAGAAAGTGTTTTATAAGGAGATCTTTAAAAGCACTATAAATAGCATATAGAGAATAAAGACAGAGAGAGAGAGTGGGGAAAGACAAGATCACATTCATAGTGTATGCTTGTTTTTTTAGCAGTGGTTTAGTAGAGGCCCAATGCACAGCCTGCACCACATTTTGATTTTCAAAATAGAGTTTATAAAAAAATCTAAGGGTTACTTATATTTCAAAGTCAAATAAATCAATATCAGAATGATGTTAGTTGTAGAAACATGTGTTTTTTAAATGACATATACATTAAATTAGTGTTTTCTAAACATATTGTGATGACCCTCTGTGGATAGGATTCCCTAACTTCATGACCTTTTCCTGCAGGAGCCTTATGGGTGGAGACAGGCAGCCAGTCTTCTGTCTTCGTTTTGTTTTTGCTACTTGGTTTCTTTATTTGCACCATACCACATCCCCACGTATCTTCCATGTTTTATGTTCAAGTTTCTTGATAATGTTATGTTGATGTTATACAGCCATTCTCACATTCATGTCTCATTTGTGAGATAAAAATAAAGTAACTTGTTATCCTTGCTTGAGCTGTGTTGCAACAATGGTGATTATAATCTATTACCTAATTGTGTTCACTGACATAAGGTCATAGTCCACGCCTTTTTATTAATAACTATACAATATCAGTGTGTGTGTGTGTGTGTGTGTGTGTATAGGTGTGTGTGTGTGTGTGTGTGTGCACCCTACCTGTGTTGTAGAAGAGGGTGGCAATGAAGGTGCAGTTCTTGAAAAAAGTGTTGCTGGAGGTGATGTCCTCAAAATAACACTCCTCAAACAGTGAGTCCTCAAACACCATAGACCTCATTTTCAGGTTCATAAACCTGCAAGTAGTTACCAACAGGGATGACGGAATTAAGAAATGGAGGCAAAGAGACAATGAGTAGATGAAACATGGGAGTGAGGAGTGGAGGGACACGAAAGGAGGATGCAAATACATAGAAGAGTCTTTCATTAGAAGGGTTTGAAACTTTTAGTCAGAAATGCTATTACCATATTACTAGAATATTAACAACTCCAATCACATGCAGAGTTTGGGTTAAAAAGGTAAGGTCAAAGGAAAGACAGGCTTGTTAAAAATGAAAATAATCTGGCTTTCATCCAATCAAAGCAATGCTCACAAAAAATATTTGCCGTCATAGTTTCACTAGGTTTGTTGTCATATAATAGAGAATAAAGAATAAATGTATCCACCAAGTATTGAAGATATGTAAAATATGTAAAATGTCACAATATCCTTTAAAGACACCTGACCACCATGTATCCTAATTCATTCAACGGGCCGACATTAACAAGTAGATGCAGGTAACTCACTTGTCGTTGAAGTACTCTCCTTGGCGATGGACCTGGTTTTCCAGAGTGAAGTTAAAGGTGACATGGTCTACTTTCTCCTTAACAAAAACCTTGGTGCGCGAAGCGTACTCCTGCTTCTGCAGGTACTTGATCATGTCAGGGAACCACACTGTCAGACCGTAGTAGCTGGAGGAGGAAGAGGAGGAGGGGAGAGACAGATAAAGTGAGAGTGATGAAAAAATAGTAACAGTCCAACAGAGAAAAGATCATGCCTCTGTCAAAGAGGCACATGGGCAGTGTTACTGTGTGCATGGATATTCCAGGGACACAGACATACTGGTTAGCTTAGCTTAGCACAAAAAGAATTATAATATAATTAATTTAATTTTTTTGTGTGGGGTAAAACGTGTTAAAACATACGTTATTAATCATCCAGTGGTTAGCTAAACTAGTTGGCTGCTGCCGTAGCCTCACATTTAGCACATGAGAGTGGTATTGATCTTCTCATCTAACTCTCTGCTAGAAAGCCAATAAGCTATTCCTAAAATGTGGAACTATTCCTTTAAGTACAGTTTGAGGTACTTCATTAATAACATTTTATGAAACTTTATACCTCCACTCCACTAAAAGGAAAATAATCAATATACATCTATATACATAATAATTACATCTATTTGACAGGTATAATTACTTTGCAGATTATACATTTTATGCATTTAAAATACATAATTTATAGATTACACACCCAAGTTTATCAATTTTTAATATATTTTGATGATAATCCTTCTGTACTTTAACACATGTAAGATTTTACTTGTAATTGTGTATTTTTTTTTTATTGTATTGTATTTTTACAACGTATTAGTCCAACTTTTACTTAAGTAAAGGATCTGAAACCGAACTGTTTCTAAATTTCTATTTTAATCTTTTGTGCTTCTCTCTTGTTAATGTATTTTATTCTGACAAAGAGAGATACTCTTGAATCAGCAGTACTGTACCTCACTGGCCTCTACTTTAATTCTTTTAATTCTATTTCATGTTTTATTCAAAAACAAATGTTCAGAGTAAGTAGGCTATTACTCATCTGGAAGTATGAACCTGGCATGAGCTGCCTGGCCCTGTCATTTGGGCAGGAGATAATGTATGCATTTGGATCACCCACATCTACCTTGTAGCAAGCTGTTCACACAATATTGCTGTGATCAACACTTGCCAGTTCTTTTTGGATGCAGCAAATAAATGGACTTCACTGACATTACTGTAAGTCTCAGTAAGACCCAGAAAAACCTGCAGTAGTGCACCATTCTTTAGCCTAATCTTACCTGAAGGACATAGAGAACCACACAGCCATCATCATGTAGGTGGTGCGGCGGTACTCGGGGGAGAAAATGGTCAGGAAATTACTCCATACCTGAAGGAACACATACATGGACACAGATACAGGGAAACACAAAGAAATTAATAAATGCAAAGTACAGTCAGATAGAAAGTAAACAAACAACATACATCTCTGAAAACAAGTTTCTTTCCATCAGCTGTTAGATATCACGACCCCGTCCCAGAATCCCTTTCCAGGCATAGAGCAAACAAACTGAGACAGCCTCAGCAGCACAAGCTGTGAGACAAACACATCCAGTCACTAAATACACACTGTCCACAAGAAAAAGAGAATTATTACATAAATAAAGCCTGAATTGAGCAGTCTTACAAAGTTTTCATCAGAGCTCTGACATTTGTTTTCTCCTTAAATAGAAATACATGTTTGTCAAATGCGCTTATAAATTACATTTTATTTAACACTAGATAAAATGCAGATTCCTTTGATTATAATATCTATTTTTGATTCTTTGACGGTTTAAAATTTCATCACAATATTTGGTAAGCAGTTAAACCCCAGTGCAAACTGACTACACAAACTGTTTTAAAGGCTCAACATTTTGGGGACTATGCTCATTTGTTCTCTTGCCAAGAGTTAGATTAGAAGATCAACAACACTCTCGTAAAGCTAAAGATGGTTAGCTTAGCTTGCCGTAAAGAGTGGAAGCAGGGGGAAAAACCTAGACTGGCTCTCTCCAAAGTTCAAAAATATGTCCACAAAGGTTAGATAATGAACACGCAGTATCTTGTTTGTTTAATCTGGTCACAAACAGAACAGCACAAGCTTTTGTTTTACAGGGAGTTTACAGGGAGTCTACACCATGTCTCACTCTCATAGGGATATTAAGAAACTGCAATAGGCCATGGGTAGCCAAGGTTTAGTTCCTCCCTGTAAAACTAAAATTTTAAATTTTTACAATTATGTTTGTGTACAGTTTAGCTATAAAGTTTTAAAGACCTGAAATCTGTATGGGCGAGGTTTAATTCTGAAAATCTCTCATTCTCAGATTATTAGTCCTGATCTGCCCTCAGAGGGTTGCCTCATTCCTCTGTTTCACCTTAACAATTAGTATTACTAAATAAGAAAGTGAAATAAAACAAACAAACTGCAGTGTTTGTCACCTGATGGAATAGTGAAGAGAGCTTTGTCCTCCATTTCTCATGCCAGGCGGCACCATCACCCAGGTTCACCAGTTCATCCATCTGCTTCACTGTTTTGATGGTGGTCACCTGTGAGCAACATGATTCAATATTTAGATTTGATTGATGTGTTTAATGGGCGGCACGGTGGTCCGGTGGATAGCGCAGGTTCAAATCCCGGTTGCCTAGGCCTTTCTGTGTGGATTTTGCATGTTCTCCCCACGACCTGTCCAGGGTGTACCCTGCCTTTCGCCCAAATTACAGCTGGGACTGGCTTCAGCCCCCCTGTACGCAGGATAAGCGGATGATGTGTTTAATTATTGTTAATTTTTTTCTTTTAATAAAACTAAATGTGGCTTTATACGTGTGAGGGAATAAAACATGCTTTGATCTGCATGTGATATCAAACGTATAATTCAGTTTTTATACCCTTTTATATCACTGCTTGATTTGTAGACCTTTGCTTTGAAATATAACTGACACTGCAGAATTAATATTCCTTCCATATTATTATTCAAATGAATGCATAGATCTCAGTAAATATGTGCAGTATATTTACAACAGAAAATAAGCTCTCCCATAAAGAAACCCAACCACTGAGACAATAAAAAGGCTCCACCCCAACTAAAAATGATATAATTAGAGGTAACTGATTTGCTTAATGTCTCAACATTAACATATATTAAATATGGCAAGTTATGATAGAAGGATGAAGAGTAGAAGAGTTTATTTAGTATTATTGTCACCATATTTCATTTAATATGAACTGTGTAGCTTGAGGAATTAAGAGATTACAGTAGTTGAAAGAAAATCTGTTTTAACTTCTTAATATGCAAATGTATGCAGCACAGAGCTCAAAACCTGCTGCACTGCATTGCCTACAGGCAGTCACACACGCACTGTGTGAAGACATTTTTTCCTCCATACAGACAATAGTGTTTGGAAATAAAGCATAAGATTCATGAGTGTGACTTACCGTGAAGACCCTCTCTGGGTAGCCCTTGGCCCTCATGTTGGTGTCATGGACCTGCTTCAGAATCATCCATGCCTCGTCATGTTTTCCATTCTGAAGGATAAAAACAAAACAAGTGTACATCTTAGTCAAAACTCTTGCTGTAGTAGTAACTGGAAATTAAAACTGTAGCAGGGAGGGTGAAAGGTTACTAGCAGGTGGTGTAAGCCTTAGGCACACTGAATATTTTAAAATCTCTTTAAAGTTTGCTGTAGTTTGTGAAGACTCTTTTTTTCTGGTAAGAGATTTGGTGTTAGAGTCAAGTGAATTTTATTTATATAGCCCAATATCACAAATTTGCCTAGGGAGGCGTTTTTATGCCAAATTACGCTGTGGGACTTGAAACCAATGATCTTTCGATCAAAACCTAGACTCAATTAAAACTAAATTGAACATATAATGCAGTATTTTATGTAGAAAATGTAGTTCACAGATTTTTAGTTCTGTATCTCAGCAACCAGCTACACTTCATTTACTTAAACAATTCACTAATGCCTTCTGATGTCAATGAGTATCAAAGGAAGTGTGGGTACATTTGTGTGACAACAGGAGTCTTGAACATCAAAGTTAAATCAAATGAAAAACATACAAGTGGGTAAATTACTACGAAAGTAAGAGTTTCTCTTTGTATGATATCATTTGCTGTAGTCATGATAGCTAAAAGTGGCTTAGTAGCACATAAACAAAGCTACTATAATATGTGGATGGTAATTATTTTGGACCATGTGCCAGCCTTCAAATATTATTATTATATATTATACTGAATAGGAATAAAAAACTTCAGCAGTAATTGATGTTTTTTACAGTACCTTGTTATTTATGTACATATTTATTAATTTATTCAAAATATTCTGGAAAGGTGTGAAAGCAGCACTTTGTCTGCAGCACAGCATCTTTCACATTGCAAGTACACAAATGCTTTCTGTTTTCAAGGCTGTTTATGCATTCACTAAGTCAACATGTATTCAAATAATATTTCCACAAGGTCTGAGTGTGGCGAGAGCTGACAGGCTCACCTCAAGGTAGAAACGGGGGCTCTCGGGCATGGTGGTGAGGGCACAAATGGCCGCCACAGAGGGGAAGGCACACACTAACACAAAGACACGCCAGCTATGGAATTGGTAGGCCGAGCCCATCTGGAAACTCCAGCCTACAAGAGAGAGAGGGGGGAGGTGTCAGAGAAAACAAGAGCTAGCATATAGGCAGCTGCAAGACAGTCATATACTGTAATCAACTGGTTGTATGCATTTTTTTAAACTGTAGTGATTAAATACAGCATTGCAGTGATTTGTCATATGTTTGTTATATTTGTTTTTAGCCAAGTCACCACTATTTGTAAATGTGACAAACCCATTTTATTTTCACCAGTGTAACTGTATAATATGCATGTCAAACTTGCTTGACACAAAAATGAAGTTATTTAAACAGAAAGAACGTCCACTGAATTGAAAACATTCAGACATTTTCAGCCTCATTTGGTCTTTGTCAAGGTTTGTGATAATGAAAATCAAGCTTTTCTTATTTGTCACAATTGGACTATTTTGACTAAAATTGACTAAAAAACAAAACGTCTGCGGTTATGATTTGTTAAGTCAAGTCAAGTAACATTATAATGAAAGCTATGTTACAATGTGTAATAAATCATACATTTACTATTGTTTCATATGAGTTATGTAAGTTCACAAATGCACCATTCAAAAGTCTATAGATCTGCTTTCAACTACATTACATTTTTTAAACTATTAGGTGTTTATATACTTCTTATAAATGTAATAATAATGTCAGCAGCACATTAAAGGGGCATTATGGAGTTTCCAGCAGCCACTAGTGGTGCGGTTTTAAGATTGCTACCAGGCATGTGCTCATCCACGTGCTCGCTTGAACTCATGAGTGAGCATAATCCTGAACAACGTTCCAGTCTCAGAGGCAGATCAACACCGGTTCTGTAACGTTATTTCATTCAGCGCAGCGAGCTGCATATCGGCACAATCCTCCCAGAAAAAAAGAGTGACAGCGGCTATAGACAGGCAGGGAGACAGCTTCGCGCAATATACTGGAAACTCAGGTAAAACCCTATTGCAACGTTGCAGTAATAGTATTGAACTAATCCATGCTCGTTACATGATCATGGTACATTTACTGCATTTAGCCGACCTGCTACATCGTTAGCTCGCCTGCTGCTTTCAGTAACTATCTTTACTATCTGTGTATCTTTCTCCGGAGGCTCAGCAATGTCAACACAGCTAAATGTATTGGATGATAACAAAACGGGTAGTGAGCTGGACTGAATATTATAATGACATTGTGTCGCACTTTATAATAATAAGACCTCAGTAAGTAACTTTACTGTAGTGTTAGTGCATGGCTCTTCCTCTGGGTTGTATATTATGTGGGTCACGTTAGTTACAGTGACGGAGAGGTGGACAAGCTGTGTACCTGAGTATTGGTAAAACCACAATATACCTAAACTGAACATTACGAAGCAAACAGCGGCAGGTTCGAGCTAATGTAGCGTTAGCTGGCTGCTCTTGGCTGCATCACTACAGGCTAACGTTAGTAAACAAATCGCTCCACATTTGATTTTTACCGTTACATCCTTTTCTTTCTAAATCAACTGTGGTACACAGGATAGTAACATGGGTCACGTTAGTTGATGAAGTAATGTGGAAAGTGATACAACGTTGCAACAGATAACATTAACAACTAACGTGACTTTCTCTGTGTTTCTCCAGCTTTACTAATGCTCACTTTGTTCTTACTCGACATCATCTGAACCTGTTTGGTCTGGTGGGCTTCAGCACATAAACCTTTATTGTTGTTTTGTATCCTTGCGTGGAGCCTGTGTTTTGCTGTTTAGCTAATTTTATAAAGTACTTTAGTGTTTAGTTTTTATGCTACTTTTTACTTCCACAACACTACATTTCAGATGAAAACGTAGTTTTTACTGCACTGGATTTATTTCATAGAAATGGTAACTTGTTACTTTACAGGGCTGTTTAGCAAACTGACAACAAGCTGGCGTTCATATTGCCTTAGACAATGATTTCCTGACAGTGATTGATTTGTTTTTCTCACCATAGTGTGGGATGATGGCCCAGGCCATGGCGGAGGCATAGATACCACCGATCATCCAGAACATGCAGAGCCAGCTCAGATGCTCTCCTCGCTTCTCCTGGGCCAGGAACTCAGAGTAATAGGAAAACACAATGGGGATGGAGCCACCAATACTGTGGAGTAAAAAGGGAGGCAGGAATAAAAAGGGAAAGACATTTAAAAAAGAGAGAATGAGAAGGGATCCGCATGTAGGAGCAGCAAATAGTGGATGAAATAAAAGAGATGAGAACAAAAAGGGGAAAGACAAAAGCAAGACAGATGGCAATGGTAATTTACAAAAAGAAAAGAAAAAATAGGTAATGTGAGGAAAGAAAACAGTGGAAAGAAAAACAATATAACAAAGGTTGGGGGAGAAGAAAAAGCAGAAAGAAAAACGCAATAAATGAAATGAAAAGGTTTTCAGAAAAAGCAACAGGAGAGTGTTACAGACAACCGAGTAGCCATGTAGTTGATTAAGGATGATTAAAACCACCAATAATGGCCTGACTTGAATGAATTGAACTGACTGCAATCAATAGCGTCATCTTTATGGCATCTGTACATGTTCCATCACAACAATCTACAATCTACTGGGAACTAATGCTGGGAACACATTCAGAGTTCTGCAGTCAAACAGTGGCAGTGTTGTTGATAAAATGACTCAGTTTGGAAAGGTTTAAAGTTCGCCACACTGCAAATGACAGCAATATCCATAATGACTAGGTCACTATACACATTTCACCAGAATAACATTTACTTAGTTTCACAGTCTGAAGATTCATGACAACATGATGTCATATAGATATATTGCTAGTGTTGCCAAAACTCAATAGGCTATGAATGACCTACTGTATCTAAAACATCTAAAACCATGTAAAGGTCGTGTTTTAAAGTCAGAACCTGGCAATCAGAGCAAGGGTCGCCATTTCACTGACATTTTGCCACAGCCACCAGCATTCAATAACCTTAATTATGAGACAACAAACCCATTAATTATTAATCTCAAATAATGAGTGTGACAGTAGTTACATTTATATGTCTTTATACCCAGCCTCAATCCGAAACAGTTATGTCAGGCTCTTTGTATGGATGTTGGGGACATAAATGAAGGAAATTACTTCTTTAAGTGCAAGTAGACAAAACTGTTAAAACACAATCCGACACTTGATTGCAAAATAGCTCCTGAAATGCAGCAAACATCACAGACATCCACGTATCAGAGGGCTGATTTTTTTCCTTTTAATATTCGTAAGCACAGTATATTTGTCTGTGTCCTGACATGTGGCATTGCTCTGCTTGTCAAGTCAACAGATGACCCACAGTGGTCGTGACTGTCTCATTTCCAGCCCTGGCTGCTGTGCCTGTGCGTGACTCATCTGTCTCCTTACCCCACACCAGAGGCCAGGCGGCAGAAAAGGAACGAGACGTAGCCCTGGACGAAGGACGAGAAGAAGGCAAACACACTGTTGATGGAGAGGGAGATAAGGAGGGTCTGCCGACGGCCAATCCGATCAGCCAGGCCACCCCACACGAAGGCCCCAACCATCATCCCAAGGTACACGATCAGACCTGAAAGGAGGAGGGAGAGGGAAACAAAGCCATGGAAGAAAGAGGGGAGAGTTGGTGTTTCGGTAAGAGGAGAGAGGAAGAGAGTTATGGCAGGGGAATGGGATGGGAAGAGATAATGAGGGAGGATAGAGAGACAGAGGACATGATAATGAAGTATTATCAATAAACTAATTGATATTACTTCCAGTCCTCATATCCACTCTAGATTTCCAATGCCCAGAAAATTTGCTCATTTGGCAGCTTTATTATACTACTGAAGTATTTTGCATAAAGCACAAAACAGAGGCAGAGTAATAATCTGAATTGCATACATAGCAGAGAGGTTGTGGGGTGAAGATCATAATAATAATAACCTTTTTAATACAGCACTTTTACAAGTTATTCAAATATAGAAAAAAAAAACAGAAACAGAAATGGATTGTACAAAAAAAGTACATAAAAAACAGCCACTTACTGTAAAATGCTCATTAAATGAAAATTAGTTTTTAGCAAAGAAAGTCACTGAGCTAGCAAGACCGATCTGAACAGGGAGATGGTTTCAGAATTGGTGGGTCCATTAACATAACAATAAGATTTGAATCAATGATAACTCTTAACATCCTTTTGGTCCCAGCATCATCTCACTTGACACAGTATAGACTGAATATCATGGAAAGAGCCGGTGCTTTCTTTCCCACACTGCCAGGGAGCAGACAGGCTGATAAAGGAAACAAACAACACCGTTGTCAACCCAGTCTTGTGTTTTGAGGTGCACATCCCATGCACTTATCCAAGCCAGCTTCTCTCTGTCTGTCTGTCTCTCTGGCTTTCTCTCTCCCTCTGCAACACACACCCGCAGTGACACAAGTTATTGGTGAGATTGCTTAAATGAATAAGGAGTAAAAGTCTGGTGTACTGCGCCTGGTCTTGACATCTGTGTTTAAATCTATGCTATAGTATTTTTATCAAATGAGCAAATTCAACCCAGTGAGTCCAGCATGAATACATGTATCTCCACTGACACTCTATTCGGATTGGACAGTTAACACAGTTCACTGTTTCACTTCTAATCATGATGTATCAGTGTGCCAATAAGATGATACTACCTCAATACCGCAGGGAAACACATGACTAATCAATTGACAAAATAAACTCAAGGTCCACTTGTTTCAAAGCTGTCAGCCATATCTCAATTAAGTTTTATATAGATTAACATGGATGAAAAGTGTTCGGAATAAACATACACAGTGCCATTACAATGATGATGCAGCCCTGTCACCCGACAAGATCATCAGCATTGGACAATTCTGCAAAACCCTGGATCATGCTCAGTTTGTTTTATATCCTATGGCAATGTTTTTCATGCTTTCTACAATATCTGTAAGACTGTCCTGACAACAGCATCAGTCATGTCCCAAAATGACATGTGTTTATATTCAAGTGAGAAAGACCTCTAGCAGCTGTATTAATTATGACTGGAGCAAAGGAGGAACTCAGGTGACATTATTATAGAGTGACAAAGTCCACATAGGTAGGAGGTCAGGGTGGATGGATGATACAACAAAACATTGGCCTTTAACACTGGAGATCGCTGTTTGTTTCCTGTTTCCAACTTAAAGTCAGCATTGTTATGTATAGTATGTAGTATGACCACGATTGTTCCATAACCTCAACCACATATTACTGTAACCATGATGACAAAGGTCACCTAAACTTAACAAATTAGTCATTTTAACCAAGACCATGATCTAAACCACGTCGTTGTTTTGGCTAAACCAAAACCAAACCGTATATACCGTAAATAATAAAAAGTATACGTCTGAGACAGGATGTGAACTTTAGTTGAAAGTCAGACTCCCTACACACCCATCTACCACTGCAACCATTTCACACCCTTCATTTCTGCCTAGTCACATAAAGGGCACATATGAAGTGCAGAATCTTTCATTATGGAAAGAAGTCCTAGGATAATAGGCTGATGAAGTCCATGCGTTACAAGCTTGGGAACAAATGAGTAAGTGGACCTTGATTTAAAATTGTTTTGTCAACTGCTGTTAACTCAAGGCAAGAAAGAATGTTTAGTTTATTCTGCAAGCATTAAAAGTTTATATGATGGTTGGAAGCTGTTGTCTTTTTTATTTTATGGTGGGTTTACCATTAAGAATGCACATTTGAAGCTAAGAATTACACTTAACAATCTTCACTTTCCTTCATTTCACTTTTGATGGCCACTCAGCCTGAGTCACTGGAATTTGTTGATTGTGTTGGATGTAGCCTAATATTAATAAGCTATATAAGGTAATGACCAGCTTGCTATAAACTGCTCTTTAGCATAAACACCAACAACTAAGGAGACTATGAGGGCACAAGTTTTTCTCTCACTGGGAATTACAGCACAACAACTGATAAGTGTTTGCAGCAAATGACACGAAATCTGCTCTGTTTTTATATTCCTAAATGGTAAGGGTGTGAGGAGATCTCATGCCACTTGTGACAGATTGGTAACCTAGCTGGTAGAGTTTTGCAGTATAAACATCTAAAAATTGAGGCACAACTTTGCTCTGTTTGGGACTTTAAGCTGCACTTTATCAAAGGTGCTGAAGTTAACGTGTGTGGATTTGTGGTTTTTGTAATTTTTGCCTGTGTTGTTAATTATTTACGTTTTCCAAAAAGTCTAAAGCAGATCGCATTACTACCGATACAGCAATAATGTCATGCACTGCAGAGTAGGGCAGATAGATTTACAATTATCATGAATTCTCATTAAACAATGATGTTAGTCTCATAATATTTCAACAGATATGTGGGATAGATTTTAAATGTGCAGACGGTTTTGAATACGTTCAGAAAACCTGCTGAAACACAGGAGCTGTCCTGGGGCTGTATTACAGAAAGTTCCTATCTTAAGTCTTAAATTAAGATTAAGAGTCTAAGATAGAATTTTTCTCAATTTGGTATTACAGAAGCAAATCCTAACTAACTTTAGGAATCCTATCTTATCTTACTTCATCCTATCTTATCTCAGGTTAGGAAATCCTAAATACTTGATCCAACATCGGTTATCAACTTTTATGTCTGTTACCTAGTAACCAATCCCACTTTCCTCATTTCGCCGAGCTAAACGCCTTTTTTCGCTGTTTTTTGGTAGAGATTTTTTAATGAAACATATACTGAAAATGGAGCAGAAACAACAACTATTATTGAACTTCAAGTCAGATGACTTAGAGGTGTTTGTAACCTCCGCCGACAAACCCAAATTCACGTAATCCTTAACTCAGGAGATTAAAGAGAGAGAGTGGGACACAGTCTCCGCCGCATATCTGGCATCCAGCGGAGCGCTGATGCTGTTAAAAAGAAAATAAGTGCATTTACAGTGATATGAAGACACTGTTGTGTCCAAAGAGCAGATGAAAACGCTGGTGGCTCCTCTGTGCTCCCTCACTGACCCCGGCAGAAGGCTACTCTTCTTGGGAAAGTTAGGCTAATAATGACATAAAAAAAAGGCTAATAATAATAAAGGCTGCTGGCTAACGTCATCATGTTTTTCATGTATTTCTTGAATTTAACGATCTCCTCCTATCAAAGACTTGCATTAGGATCTGTTGACATTTTGTTGATTTTGTAAAAGCAAAGAGCAACCATGTGGATGGAAACGAGTTAGCAAACACTACCTGGTGGAAAAGTAAAAGTTAGGACAGCTAAACAGTTCTCCTAAAGTTAGGAGAGTTTATTTAAGATTTTACGAAGTTAGGATGCTTCTGTAATACACTTTTCTTATCTAAAGTTAGGAAAGGAATATTGACTTAGGAACTGTTAATCTGTAATGGCCTTTTTCCTAAAACACTTCCTAACCCTTATTATCATGGTCACCAAGCAGTTAGGATAGGATCTGCTTGTTAGGAAATTTCTGTAATACGGCCCCAGGAGTTTATAACTGAATTAAAATCAATTAATTCATTATTGAGGTGAAGAAGGCACATGCTTAAGAGGTTACTTCCACAAACAAAAGACTCAAAAGATGAGGGAAGACTAAATCATGACTGCATGTGTGTTAACTCACTAAGATTTATATTAAAGGTTCAGGGTCTAAGTTTTAGTGGTATCTAGTGGTGAGGGTTGTGAATTGCAAGCAGCAGCTCACAGTGCATTCACATGCTCCTCGGATGGTCCCATTTCTTGAGTTGTGAAGTCTTCTTCCAACTTCAGTGTGTGTTAATGTGCTATTAAGTTGGAATGTGGAAACAATATGGATGCTACTACAAAGATTTGTTGGATTAGCATTATCAGAGCATATAAACAACATGCAGACATCTAGTTCACTCTACATGGACAGTAAACTAACCGTTAATATTGCAAAATATGCATAGCAATATGTGATTTTCCACAAATCAAAGTTCTGTATACCTCTTTATGTCCCATGTACATATTATTTCTTCTTTTGCAATAAACATTTAAGGAGGTAAATATTCTGATCATTCCGACACCACATGAATGCACCATCACATCATATATGAGAAATCTGATCTACAGGAGAAAACATATCTGAAAGCAATACAGAATGCCTGAGAGCCTTAATCTGTTTTTATTTTAGATTTAGTGGCCTGCCACCTGAATTTTGAGTTTCTCTTTACATAAATGAAAACATTTCCACCATAAATCGGTGCAGGAAAATTCCCCAGAATACAGGAAATGCCCAATGCTCAAACTTTTCAGAGAATTCAGCATTGAAGATTTCTTAAAAACAGTGTTAAAATTTGTCTTGTGAGCTAATTGTCTCGTCACACCCCTACTGGTGTGAATGATCCCAATAGAAAAGCCATCATGGGATCGATTACACAAGAAAACAGATGGGGGGGGGGGGGGGGGGGGAAACTACATAGGCTTTAAACTGATCTGTTGGATCAGCTAAGATAATCCATTACACAGTCTAACAAGCTAACTGCTGGGATGATGAAGTTGGACCCACAGTTAGTATTCGCTAGAGTCATAATATTGAGGGAGAAAAGGGCAAATTTAGCACA